ATATATATATATATATATATATATATATATATATATATATATATATATATATATATATATATATATATATATATATATATATATATATATATTCATCATTCATCTCATACCATTTCATACAAGATTCACATTCACAATCAATCTCATCATGCATCCATGACAATTATGTCAAACGACAACCGGACGCTCTAATTATTTAAGCCTCACTTACTTAAAATAATTAATCTCGATTAATCGGTAAAACCGGTTAAAAATCGGCTAAAAATAATATTTCTTTTTACCAAGTTATAGAGCATGTTATTAGCTTCAGTTTGATATAAAGAACGACAAAATCCGATAAACGGTGAAGAAGTTATGAATTTTCAAAGTTTCAAAAAAAATAATATTTTCTCACACTTACAGCGTTAACGGGTTAACGCATACCGTTAACCGGTTAACGGCTCCAAAATTCAGTTTTTTGGCCATTTTTAATATCGTTAATCGGTTAACCCATAATGTTAACTGGTTAACACTTGAAAAACTTGGAAAAACAACTACGATTTTGCACCAAAAACCCCCAAAAACCCGACCGATTTAATTATTTTCTCCCAATTAAATACCTACTCATCATTACCAATCATATAGTAACAATTTAGGATCATAAAATGCAAATTCTACGACTTTCGATTTTCATCCAAAATCTTAACTTCCAATTATCCAAAAATGTCAAAACTCACAAACTCAACCAAATTCAATCAAACGAAATCCTATAATCACGGCTAAACATTACCCGACTAAACTACGCAATTTATTTCGAGTTTCATCCGCGAAAACATTGGTTTCTATCGATTTTTCCTAATTCGACCTAAACGGAAATGTGTTGAAAAACAATCAAACAATTCAAACTAAAACATACATAATCATACACAATGATAAGATGATAGAATTTCACACCCTTACTCGATTACTCGATTCCTAGCAAGTGTTGTTGATGATTTTCATAAGTTTTCTCCTTTTCTTCTCTTCTTCCTTCTTTCTCTTCTCTTTCCCTCTATTTCTCTTTTTCTTTCTATTTTTATTTCTTTTATATTTCCTTCCTTACTATTAAATGTAAAATGACTAAAATACCCTCCAATCTAATTTTACTCAAAACTCTCCGAAACGGTAAAATATGAAAACATACTATATTAACACATCAAATTCACAATTAATACAATTATTACTCAAATCAAATAAAATACTCGTTAAAATGCAATAATCAAAATCGGGGCGTTACACTTAGACTAGGTAGAGGTCACAAACTATTTTGCATTTTATATTCAACGCATAATCCAACCATTCTTGATCTTCGTCTTCTAATCTTCAGAGGCTTCAGATGTGTATTTAATGAAGCATGTTGTATAGAGATCAATACTTGTGACTTCAGAACTTAATTCTTCTGAATCTCAGATATTCGTTCAGTAGAACTATCTTAAGAGTCTTCAACACTTGATATTTAGAAGTGTTGTCTTCAGAATCTTCAAAAGTCGTTCAACAAAACCTCGTCTTCAGAATCTTCAGAACTTCATTCAATAAGATCTTGTCTTCAGAAACTTCAGAGCAATAGAAATAATGTCTTTCGAATCTTCAGAACCTCGTTCAACAGAACCTTGTCTTTAGAAACTTTTAAACTTGTAGCGATAGAAGTACATCTCTTAGAAAGCCTTCAAGGCTTAATAACAAATTCTTAATCATAAGCTTTAGTATAAACGTTCTTCGGAATTATCGTATTAAAAGCATTCCAGAGTTAAATTTAACTTGTACGCAAACATATATTTTTCTTGCAAAGTTTTTAGATTAGAGTCTGATGAAGTCGCACGTCTTTCTATTAGATTCAGATCCAGTTTAGCAACAACTAAGCACTAGACAGAAACCATAGGGTATCGAGTTTTTCTATAAGATAACATGTGCAGTTATCATCAAAACTTAAGGCTAGATGCAGAACCACTCTTGCTTTTACACCAAACACTTTCCAACTCTTCTAAAGATAACACAATGTTATTGTTCTTAACTCTAGATGAGAGAATATAATTAGGAGAAATGGACATATTAGCAAAAAATTCTCGAACCAGATCCGAGTAGATAGGTCCAGGGTCAGCAATGAGAGAATCCAATCCTTGATGATGAAGAAGTGCATGAAAATCAAATCTATGAGTAGGAAAGGATGCTAAATTACCATAATTTGGAGAGTGGGTTCAACAATGTGGGCTTCAACATCAAATTTTTTCTTTGAGCATCCTTCTCCAACCTTTCCCTTTCCTCCATCTTTTCTTGAGGGTGCCATGGAAGAATCTTGAAAATGAGAAGTTTAGGCTTTGGTAAGTGATTTTTAGATTAAACACTAATGAAGGTTATGGGTTTTGGTTTGAGAGAGAAATGGTATATAATGAGAGTTTATGAATGGAAAACTAAGATAACTAATGTGGAGTTTTGGAATTGATGGAGTTTGAATGGGACTTGAAGAGAGTAGGTGGAAGAGTGAGGTTTGAATGAGTTAAGAGTTCTAAGACAAAAGTGGATAGAAAGTGAAAAGAGTGTTGACTAAAAGTAATTATACAAGAAAAAACACTTATTTCTCATTTTTAACAGCAGTAACCAGTTACCTAAAATGTGGTAATCGGTTACTGCCACAAAAACATGCCAATAACACTAAATCGAGAACGCGTAATCGATTACAAGAATAAAAGTAACCGCTTACAACATTCCAGAAGGCCGTAGCTAGGATAAGTGAAGCATGCATAGAAAAATATGACACAAACACTTCTATATGATAACATAAACCATTTAGTACATATATTTCATGTATACCTGTCATATAAGTTTTGTTTACACTATAAAAAAATTAATTTTCATCCAACTTATGAATAATTCACACAACAAAATGGTGAATTAAAAAATATATGAAATTTTGCATGTACCTTAGTCATTTTAGGCAATTATTGAGAAAAATCTTTGAAGAATCATACACCGAAATCATCTAATATGCCAAGTTCCCTTCAAATCTTGTAGAACGATTTTTTTTCCAAGTGGCTTTGTGAATATGTCTGCAAGTTGATTGTGGGTATCTACGAATGTAACTTCATCATCGCCTTTAAGCACATGATCATAGAGGAAATATTGTCGAATGTGGATATGTTTTGTCCTTGAGTGCACGACTGAATTTTTAGTTATGTTTATGGCACTTGTATTGTCACACTTTAGTGAAATGCATCCATGGTTCACGCCGTAGTCGCTAAGTTGTTGTTTTAACCAAAGTATTTGAGCACAACAACTTCCTGCATTAATGTATTATGCTTCAGCCGTATTAAGAGCCACACATGCTTGCTTTTTGTAGGACCACGATACACGAGCGTTTCCTAGGATATGACATGTGCCACTTGTGCTTTCTCGATCTGTTTTACAACCTACATAATCTGAGTCACAATAACCAATCATGTCACATATACTACCTTTAGGATACCACAACCCGACACTCATTTTTCCTTTGAGATACTTCATGACTCTCTTCACGGAGGCAAGATGTGATTCCTTTGGATTGGCTAGAAACTGCGCACAAAGACAAATACTAAACATTATGTCAGAACGACTTGCCGTCAAATATAATAATGAACCAATTATACCTCGGTATTTTTTGACTAGAAACACCAAATTCATCTTGATCAATATAAGTTATGGATCCCATTGGAGTATCCATTGCTTTGCAGTTGTCCATGTCGAATCTTTTCAACAACTGTTTGCAATACGTGGATTGTGTGTGTGTGTGTGTGTGTGCGCGCGCGCGCGCGCGTGTGTGTGTGTGTGAGTGTGTGCGCGCGCGCATGCCCTAGTCGTTTAAGACTTACTCTTGACCTTTTATAATTTAAAACTTATCACTTTAAGATGCTAAGCGTATGACTAGAATAATTTTCACACTCTCTCTCGTTCAGACTTTAATATCTTTTGCTTGATTAAAAAATTGATTAACACTTCAACTAAATCTCTAAATTGTCTGACTGATGAGACTTGAGTTATCTTTTTATCAGATGTCATCATGAAAAGCTTACTGAACAATTAATATCAAGTCCCTATTTCATTGTTGTCTGAAAGAACTCTCAACACTCAAAAGTCATTTGACTTATGAAATTGTCTTCTTTAAAGGTTGCTTGATAGATGTCATCATTTGTCATCATCAAAACCAACTGACGATTATATATGCAAGCACATAGACACCCATTTAAAACTTATAAATTCCTTACAATGAACTATGTGTTTTCCAAATGTATCCAAGTGCGCTTTATGACACATAAAACCTCATCAATAATAAATAAGAAAATCATAATGCGATATCTAAAAATAGTACATTAATGCTCCATTTCTGTCATATCGAAAAATAATACAATACTCCATGATCACAATATTTTCTATCTTATGATGATGTCAAACTTTGCTTTGATGTGCTTAACATTTTAATTAAAAATGGCACTCTTAAAAAAAAATTCCACTTTAATTAAAACAATTTTTTTCCGCTTAAGTCCAATTCCCCCCCCCCCCCCCCCCCCCCCCCCCCCCCAATTAAGGGGAAAAAAAATTGTTTTTCAAATACATGTTATATAGCTTTAAGTTACAATTTAATATCAAAAACAATGAATTACAGTTAGCCACGACTAGCATAAATACGAATTTCACTAGACTTAGTAACCAAAATAATTAACCAATGTAAAATTCAAGCAGACTTATTCAATTCTTTTTGTTTTATCATATTCTTATACCTCATGTCACTTTAATATGCTGATAATGATACTCATATTGATTCATTCATCTTTTTTTCACTCATATCCTCAAATTATATGGTACACAAAAATAAAATTAATTAAAAACCTTAATCATAATCAACAATAATGATTCTTGAAAGAAACACAGTACAAGTAATTGCAACAATTGTCACATAAACAAAAACCTAACAATTAAGAAAACAATGCAAACTAAGAAAGAAATTAATAAATCTACTTTCTTGTTCCCACCCTTTGATTTTTCCTCACCTTAACCCTTCCACCACCTTGAACTGAAACCTTCTGTTTCTTTTCCTCCTTTTTCTCTTCAATTTGACTTTCTTTCTTGTGATAATCATAGCAATAGTACTCACCAACCTCATCATCATCATCATGATATGCATCATGTTCCACTTTATTCTTGAAATGTCTCAAAGGTTTATTAACATTAACACCATAATGAGTTGGTCCAGAAGAAGCATCAGAAACCATTGAATCATCACTTTCAATTCCAGCATCACCTTGAATTTGATGAGTCACTTGATAACAATCACCATCATCATCATCGCTTATCGGAGATCCAATATACATAGTCCATCCAGACTCACTGCTGTGGCATTCCTCTTCACCTCCCAAGAACATATCATGAGGCGGCTCCATTCTAAGAAAGAAAAAAGAAGAAGAAGTTGTAAAAGTGAGAAGTGTTGGAGAATGGCAAAAAGTAAAGCATTTATATAGAACTAACTAACTATATGTCTCTTACAAAGGATACCAAATTAATTTATAAAAATAAAAATTGTCATTTAAAAAAATAAATAATCATTTTAAAAAGAAAACACAAAAAAAGTATATATATACATTCAAGATTATACAGAAACAGCAGGGAAATGGACAACAAACTGGGCCGGGCCGCTATTATTTCTGAACACCTGAAAATACTTATCCTTTCATCTCTCTGAACCAAAAGATACTCATTAATTACGTATAACATCATCAAGAGGGGTAAGAGCTGTCAATGAAAGTGAAACAAAAAGACCCATAAATTTGAAAGATAGAAAGAGTTGGTTGGTTTCACTTCATCACATGGAGAAGAATATGCAGTAAGTATATCAATTACAATCATCATTACTTCTCTGAATTGGTCATAAATAAAAAAATGACAGGTAATATATATAAATGCTAAATTTGCAGGATCACAGATTGACACAGGCTACAAAACAGGAGAGAATATAAGACCCATATAAGTCTAAGTAGGATTGCAAACAGGTCCTCTTCTATACCTGATTTAGGTTTTGACTTCCTTAAATATCTTGTCTCTTTATATGAAACAAATACTTTTTTTTCACTTTTTTCTTCTCTTCTTACAAACCTGCTTCTAAATTATTACAACTGTATTTTTTTAGATTATGGCCACACTATATATAATAGGAATAGGATAACGAAGTTTCTTGTTGAGAATTAATAACCCTCTCCAATATCTCTCTGCATCTAGAGTTTTCTTGTTATAGACTCGGGATCACAAAGATATTCTTGTGATCAAAACTTTTCTCCAATTTTTTTCTGTTAAGTCAGTTCAGTTGATAGTTGTACATGACATCAGATATAAGAGCGCGATTTCGAATACATGATTTTCCATGTGTTCGCTTTTAAAACAGTGAATTTAAACAGCTAAAATATTTTTTAAAAAAATCCACCGACTTTTTTATATCTTGGCTTGAAATGAAAAAGAATAAATGCAATATTACAATATGGATAAGATAATGGAATAATACATAGTCACCAACATGTTTTTAATGATTATAATGAAAATTGATTTATGCGACGGGTTTGTGAATACCAGAGAGGTAGATTGTGATATTTATCTACTTGGAATTGGAATTGCATGGTTGAATCAAAGCTAGATCATATTCTCTATCATTACAAAACAAAGTATACCCTACCTTTTTTTTCTTTCTGTCTTCCACAAATTTGAATTGCAAAAATCTAGCTATTATTATTATTATTATTATTTATTTATTTTTTTATCAACATTTTCTTATGTTCCAAAAGGAATATTGTTATGGGCGGTGATATAAACGTAATCAGGTATATAGGTTTTTCTGGCTTTGCTAACATACACAAATGAAGCATGTCGTGCATGTTAAGCTTAAGACTATAAAATTTTGGGGAAAAAGTATCATTTCTCTTTAAACATCTCACTCTTATATGTCTTATGTTTGAGCAATTGTGTATAATTCGATATTTCGTTTTAAATATTATGTAACATTATATCCTACCGGTTTCATGTTTGAGAATTATGTATAATTAGATCTTTCACTTAAAACTATGTGCATATGCAATAACTTACCAAAGTCCACCTCTTTCTTAAGTTATTACATGGGGCAACAACAGACTAGTTCAAACTTAATGGCAAATCAAACTAAAGTCCACCTAGGAACTTAATATCAAAAAATATTGCATTCTTTTTTCAACTCTCGACCAGTTTTGTACTCAGCTTAATCTTCCTCAAATTTTCTCTCTTCACGAGAGAAAACGTTGATCTCTTGAAGGTCATTGTTAATGGGTAAACTCTCTTAAAGGTCATTGTTGATGTAGATTTAAACTCTTAGTCTTAGGATTAGGGACCTTATCAATTTGGATCTTCCCTTTCTTTTCTTCTTCGTCTTTTCACTTCTATTTTTTTTTTTTAAACTTTAATCTTAGTTCCTACTCTACCATGCATGATACATCGAATCATAAATACAATGGATGGATGGCAACAAGTTAAGAAGAAGAGTTGAAAATCAAATGGACACTACAAAGGAAGAATGGACACGAACTCTAGCAGAAGAAGAGGGGACAATGCACACGAAAATAGATCAAATTTTTTCTTCACCAGGATTTCAGATTCAAATGGAGCTAAAGAGATGTCCGATATATTTAAGGACTACGGTGACATAGATGAAGTGGTGTTCCTTCTAAACGTGACAAAAATTGAAGGACATATAGTTTTACAAGATTTTTCAATGTTGCTGACGAGAGAATGTTGGTTGTGAGACTAGATAACATCTTCATCAACACTGAAATTTTTTGTCAACATACCAACATTTCAAAGGGACATATACATGATGACAAAAAAAATGAAAATGCCCGGAACAGTGATAATAGGAAAAGTGCATTCAAAACCAACAACAACTTAAGAAGATTCACGGAACCACACAAATCATTTGCAGATGTCTTGAAAGATAAAGCGGGTACCAGTAAGGGAGATCATGTGTCTCAAAGACAACATCATGACAAATTCGACAAGAAGTCGGTCTTTGCACATCTTTAATTTAACACCAAGGAAGAAGATAATGTCAGGTTCAATAAAGCTTACGTTAGTGTCGTTGCAAACTCAAGAGTGATGTACAATATTCAAGAATCCTTTCTTCTGGAGGGCTATTTTTCTATCAAGATCAAACCAATGGGTGAAAATCTATACCTAGTGGAGGAAATGGAAGAAGGAGAGTTGAAGGCTTTGGTTGAGGATGCTAGTGACTGGTTGCCACAATGGTTCAACAAAGTTTGGTCGTGGTCTCCCAATGATATTGATAATGAAATATTAACTTGGTTATCGTGTTTTAGAAGCCCATACCATGCATGGCGTCCAAATTTCTTTGAATATTTTATTGGATAAATTAAAAGGCTGTCTCGGGAAACGAATAGTTTGTTTCTCCTAGAGCAGATAAAAGGTTTATTCTCTAGGAAATAGTAGTGCATTAATTATTCATGTCTTCTTGTCTGTAACTTTAGTCTATATAAAGACCTCATACCTCATTTGTAAAACAACTGAAAACAACTTACTTTTGCAAGTCAATATAACAAAAGGAGTAGTTCATATAAATCCTGCTACCTTCAAATTGGTATCAGAGCGCATGGCAAACATGATGAATCAAATGCCACTACCACAACTATCGAAGTCCAATTATGAGAATTGGAGTATTCAGATGAAGGTGCTGCTTGGATCGTTAGATGTGTGAGAGGTTGTAGAAGATGGGTTTGAAGAACCAGAGACCACGAAGGAAAACACAGCAGCCCAGAACAAGGCGTTGAAAGAGACACGGTCGAAAGACAAAACAACATTATATATGTTGTTTAGAACAATAGACGAATCCAGTTTTGAGAAGATTGCTGGTTCGACTACCTCGAAACAGGCGTGGGATACATTAGAAACAGCGTTCAAAGGAGCGAATAGAGTAAAGCAAGTTCGTTTGCAAAATCTTCGAGGAGAATTAGAAAGAATGAAGATGAAGGAGATGGAGTCCGTGCCGGACTACGTCACACGTGTACAAACAGTTGTAAACCAACTGAAATGAAATGGAGAAGCAATGACTGATGCCCGTGTCGTCGAAAAGATTTTAAGATCTTTGACAAATAAATTCGAAAATATAGTATGAGCAATAGAAGGGTCAAAGGATCTTGCGACAATCACAGTCGAAGAAGTCGATGGTTCACTCGAGGCACATGAACAGCGCAAAATACAGAGGAAGAAGGAGACACTTGACAATGCAGAACGAACTAAGGAATCCACTAGAGATGAGAGGGCACTCTTCTCTCAAAACTGGCGTGGGAGAGGACGTGGCCGTGGAGGTAGAGATGGTGGTCGAAGCTACCAAAACAACAACTTCGAGAGAGGACAGGCAAGTCAACAAAATTGGCGTGGTCGAGGACGTTGTCAGAGAGGTGGCAGGTCGAACTATTTCGACATTGAATGCTATAAATGCAACAAACAGGGACATTATGCGAAGGATTGCAACTCATACAGTTGTGTTACACCCTAAATTTTGACCCCTTAGATTCTCATTATCATTTTAGGAGCATACTCATGAATTATCTAACCTTAACCCAGTGCAAGTTTGTCTTTGTCAAATTATAGATGAATCAGGGTTTCGTGCAGTCAAAAACAAAACTTCAAGGGTGTGGTTAGTCAATGTTTTGGGCTCATTCAATTATGAAACAAGGTCAAGGGTATCATATAATGACAATTGAGAATCCAATTTGAGGTTGTTACCCCAGAATCCAGAGCAGTGTATTTCAGGGCACCTGATTAGGGTTTCTGACCAGTAAAAGTCAACTATAGTTTGACTTTGATGTTGGAAGGTGTTTTAATGGTGAGATTATGATCCATGAAGTTCATATAGCTTAATAAAGTTCATTCAAGAAGTTTCAAAGTCTCAGGAGGTCCAGAATGTCAACAGGCGACTCGGTAGTCACCGATCGGTCGTACGGTTGACCGAAAAGTCAACTCTCCAAATTTTAGGAATTTGACTTCAAGTTGTGAAACAAAATTGTTCCTTATGTCATATTGGACTTGCATATCAATTTTCATGACCATTGGATCAAGGATGAAGGAGTAATCAAAAAATCGGGAAATTAGGGTTTTGAAAGGGGCTAAACCATAACTCCTTAACCACACATCCAATTGAGTTGGTTCAAAGCTCATTTGGAAGCTCTTGACAAGTCCTAAAAAAGTCTCTAAGTGGTACATTATTAGAAAATGCATAGATTTGGAGTTATGATCAAATTCATTTCTAGAGGGGAAAAAGACTTAGAGAAATTTCACTTTTAAGTTCATTTTTTAGCAACTTTGGAAGGATTTTTGGCCAAGTTCCTTTGAGAAATTGAAACTCATGAAAACA